ACTCGACCCATCTGATTGTGCGATTTCCACTCTGTGGTTCTTGATTTTATCCATAATCTCTCTTTTTTTGGTTACTATGGTGAATTCAACGATGATTTTGTTGTTTCTTTTATTTTGTAGGCTCTCTCAATTTCGCTTTCTTATTTCTACCCCCGCTCTTTCGCATATCATGTTTATTACCTCAGTAATTTCCATGTTTGCATCGCTCACGTTGCCTATTTCTATATTTGTTTATCGCTCTCTGCTCCAATTTGTTCACTCTGGTGCTGAGTTCATTTATATGCTCGTTTTTTGTTTGTCTCTCAATTGGAGTTCATATATGTTCGCTTTTTTCTTTATCTCTCATTGGAGTTCGGTGATTTGATTAGTAATCGTTGTTACGTTTTTGTTAATCTCAGCGAGGTTTGTTGTATGTTGGAGATATTTGCGTTCATTGTACTCATGTTCAAAGAGAGTTGTTTATGCAATTTTGAATGTCTTGCATGCCTGCTTTTAACTCAGCGGAGTCTTTTTGCTGCGATATGATCTCATGATTGTTTCGTGTAGTAGTTGGTGTCGCAGTATTTTTAAATCGTTTACTTGCATTATTCTCATCATCATCTCTTTCACGTTGTTTGGATTGCAATTGTTGTAGATTGGTATTTTCCTCGGAGAGTTTGTTTCATTTTCATTACTGCTTATTAGAATATACGCGTTATTTGGTGATTTCACTCTTGGATTGCATAAATGACATTTCCAATCTGCTTTCTTCTGCTGTCCCATACTCTTATATGAACTCTCTAATAGAGAGCAACAAGGACTGAAGTGGAATTGGCGGTTGCACTGAAAGCATCGTACAAAGTTCAACGATTTATATTGGTACTGCATTGGCCACATATTGTTTGAAACTTGCAAAAGTGACATATTTAAGGAATTCGTAGTTTACGGTTTGTTTAGAAAACTTTATGGTATATTAATAATAAATTTATATTTTTCTGGATGTTTAACACTGGGAAATGACAAACTTTTGTGCGTATGCGAAATTGCGTCCGATCGTTTTGATGACTACAGCGAAACTGCAATGACTACTACATGCAACAGCCACAAAATTTTAGGGAAAATATTCGCCGTCCAAGGTTTTACGTCTCCATAAGGCTATTTATGGATTGAAACAAAGCGCGGAAGGGAATGGAATTCCAAACTAGATAACACATTGCGTAAGATGAATTTTAAACCATGCGATAACGAACCCTGTCTTAACAAAGGCTGAGGAGAAACAAACAAGTGTTGATCGCCGTTACGTGGACGATATTATTATAGGTGCAAGAAAATGATTGTTTTGGATATCAAAAAGGAATTGGCAAGTGAGTTCGACGTCAGTGATAAAGGTCAGTTACGCCACTTTCTGGGTATGGAAATCGAAAGAGAAGTGAGATGGGTATGATAAAATTAGGGCAAAGCCAATATATATGTGACATGGAGATTGTAAATTACTGCAAGTACCCTTGGAACCCGGTTATCAGATAAATTGTAATAATAATGACGAACGTGTAGATCAAACCGCTACCAATCCCTTGTCGGAGCCCTGATATATTTAGCCACTTCTACGAGACCTGACATCTTGCATTCAGTATCAAAACTGGCTCAGAAAAATTCTGACCCTCGAATCATAAATAAAGTTTAATCGATTATAGAAGCTAGAGACATCATAAAGTATGTTAAAAAGTTGAAATCTTTGTTGGTTTAAATTATGTCCGTGAGCCTCTTCACCATGTGCAATTACGATAGAGGTCACCAAATTTAATATGCGTCTTTCAGACTTAGCACATATTATTCTTGGGATGATTGATGTTACAAAAGATATATATTTGTTCTCATTTAAATATATCCCTCATTTAATATTATCTCCCAATATTCGTCGACCAAATGTGCTCTAAATTTTAGGTATTTTGAAGGGCTCAGAAGCATTTTTGAGGTTATAAATCATTTGTCAGAAAAGTAAAAGGAAAAGTCCACTTTATGATTTATTTGTATTCCCCAGTACCTCTTTATATTCGTTATATCACCGTATTTAATTAAATATCAGTATTATAAAGGTCTTAGCAATATTTTCCAAATCAAAAGTAATTTTAGAATTCGTAACTTTCAGGAGATCATGTTATAAGTATTTAGTTTTTCCCATTCGATTAAACTATATCTGTCTGTGTATGCGACAGTTCGTTGAAATCGCAATAAAGGCGAAATATTTAGGTAATCTTTGAACTACAATATTGCTAGGAAATTAGAATATATCAATTAGTTTAGGTATAATAATACCAATAAATATTCGTCCTTTTGCATGTTTTTGTTACAATTTCTACCGAATTATCTGTAACTTAACATTTAAAGTTTTCGGTATTGTGAAATCAATACGCGAAATAACTGGCAACTATTGGTTCCCCATTAGGCATAGCCTTAATTTAAAAGTATTTCGTATTTCAAGTTCTTAATGGGTACTACAGGCTATTTGTGTAGCATACACGTCTTCGTATAGCCCCCATATAACGGTACCTACCGATAATCGGAACTTTAATGATTTTTGCAACATTATTCACTAGAATCGTTTCAAATTCGTATTTGAAGTTCGCTTGAGAAATTTATTTTTATATGTTTTTGATCGGCTGTTAACAAATGCGGCACACATCTGTAGTTCTTCATGCTAAATTAAATGGACCCGATCATTTGAGATTTGATATTAGTAATTTCACGCATAAAAATTCGTAGATCATTTAATACCATATCATGAATACTGCATCATTTTATTTGTCCTACCAGATCTATCAACTCACTAAAGAGGATAATTGGCTACACCCCATCAGAGTTATTAGCATCCTAATCTGCATGTAGTAGCAGAACCAGATTAGCGGTCTATTAACTGACTGCTACAATAACTCATGGAATACAGAATACTCATAGAAAGAAATGTTATTTACATTTTAAAATTTGTTTTGGATCTTAATATAATTTTATCCGGTGTACCACCGTTTTGAATACATCTCATAACTGATACGTTTTTAAATGAAAGTAAACATTGCATAATCATGAATGCATTTTAAAAGTCAAAAAATGGAATTTACTGCTAGTAGACAATAATCGAAATAAGAAGGCTATGTTTGTGCGAAACTAAGAGATTACGCTGACTTAACACAAGCATAAGGTTACACTATTTTCTTGTATTAAAAATGCAATATCTGACACTGTTCCAACACCTTATTGTGCATCAATTTTGTAATTTAATTGCAAATGACCTCGAGAAAATATTGATAATATATTGTATTTCATAAATCGGATAAATATTTTGGTCGGAGCAGTGCAGGAAATCTAGCTTAATGAAAATTGCGGTTTATAACAGACTTATCACGCTGTTGAGAGTCTCTAGTGACCCGTTCATGCATTGCAGCAGTAAAGTTTGGAGTTGCCGAAGTAGAGAAGTTTAATATGTATATCTCTCTGGTTAATAGTTATTTGCCAGACATTAGCCCATTTTTGGGAAGCAATAACTGGTACTAAGTGAAATAGCCAAGGAAATCAGCGTTGGTAGAGCAGATCTATTGCTTTACATTCTGCATTCTAATTAGTGTACCATACGCCAGACTTAACCATAGTGTCACCTGATGTGAAAAGGCAGACCATCTTACCATCTTAGCTTATAGTGGATGAGTTCGGTCGTTTCTACCCAGAGTCAATGAATTGACATTGGAGATTAACCGACGATACAGGAACATAAGAGTGGAAAAGTGGATAGACCATCTGACACGTTGAAACATTAGAACTTCTATGAATAAACTGTGGCTAATGGTTAAATACTTTCTCGAACTCTGTGAAGAAGTATAATAGGACCACCATCACGTTTGAGGACGTAACGGTAACTGATCCGTAGACTGCGTTGGCTATATCAACCGCCAATATTATTATTAAATAATGTTAATAAAGAAAGCAACCTTTTTTTAAATTAAGAAAATTTAAATAATAAATAACGAAACGATCGTGTGTTTTCTCTTCCCTTTTTATTGGAGCGCAGTTTTGGCACAATAACACTCGGGTCACTCGAGCCGCGATTTAGCTAACAACAAATACAGTCCTATCGATGAATTTATGTTTGTCTTCTTTGGTCGTGTAGAAGAAGTAACCATAACCATAATATTAATTTGAAAACAAAAGGTAAATACAGCGCAGTGTGGTTATTCAGCCCACAAAAAAATATTACAATAACAAAACGGCAACTTTTCAACGCGTCTTTGAATTTCTTAATTTAATTGCGGCCAAAGTCCAATTGTTGTGGACAAACATTGACAGGTGCATTATAAAATGAAAATAGGCCACAAATCATTATATGGACAACAAAAACAAAACTATGGGAGCCTGGGTCTTTTTATACCCTCAATATGGGTAATATCGGTCCACTCCATTAATTACCTCTCAAACAAAGGGCCAAAATTTTCAATAATTACAACTCTTATAAAATGTGACGTAAGAGCCAAAGTTTTGAATAACCAAAACGTTTATAAAATCCGAAATAAGCATCAGGTTATATTTATATTTCACACATTCCATTATTTCTGCTAACACAAGATCTGTTGTGAAGAAGGAAACAAGGGCTCAAAATTTTGAATATCCATGAATCTCATAAAAAGCGAAATTAATATCCGATTGCATTTACACTTTGCTTATCACAATATTTCCATCAACACAAGATCTGTTATAAAAGTGGTAGAGATCGGGCCATTTTTACCGGAACCTCCTCCACAAAACGCTAAGGAAGAAAGCGAAATAAGAAGTCAACTCTCTTCAAATTTCACACATCCAAACATTTTTGCTAACACAAGATCTGTTGTGATGATGATATGTATATATCCCAAAAAGAGTCACCATTTCAATACTTTTATCTGTCATATCTTGCGAAACAAGTCAGCAATTAGTTTACAACATGCTATGCCTAAATATTTCTCTTAACCAGAAACCTAAAATGAATATGAAATTTATCGGAATTTATGATATAAATGTTCGATTTTCTTGTAATTTTGCCCATATTAATATTTTATCTGTGTTAGATAAAGTATAAAAATGGAATACTTCGGTAGACTATATCTGGTAACTCACACACATTTTAACATTTTCTAAAAACTATAAGTGATGGAGGAAGCCGAAAAAATGTGACGTGCCAGATATGGACTATAATACCTGGCACGTCGCAATATGTATAATATTAATCATACGGCAAAATATATTTGAATAATCGAACATAGGCTGACTGATACAATTTAACTTGTTTTCTTTATCTGTTACGGCCAATTTATATCCACAACATGTAAATCGAGAATATAAAAATTAAAATGGGGTAAATAGTATTGGGGTGCATTTGATATTTTATTTAGGGCCTTTTTACAAATTTGGGGTCCAAACTAATTTAATTTCTTATTAAGGAATTTATAGGAATTAAGGTTAATTTCAAAAATTGTATTTAGGAAAAAAAAAGAAAAAGGTTTAAAGTATGCAACAAGAAACTATTTTCAACATTAATTACAAAGAAAGTTCCAAGTTACTTCTTATAATAAAAAATAACTATGTCTAATTTATAACATGCATGTGCATGTCACAGCAACGAATTCCGAACGTAAGTGGTTTTAATTCCGTATTTCGTTTCTTCAAAATACGAAATATTTTACAGTTTCAAATCACTTTGGATTTTGCAAGTGAGATTGTATTTATATGGGAACTTTTAACATTAAAAAACCCAAGTAACAAAAATGTTATTTTGATAACAAATACACAATTCGATTTACATTTTTATTTAAAATTATTAGCCAATTTTTATTGTTTTTCAATTGCCGAAGAAATTATTAGTAAAAAACAGTTTTTTCTTAAAAAAATATATATTAATTTGTGAAAACTTAACAATCTGTCCTTACGAATGATAAATTGAAGCAAATATAAAGAACAAAACAATGAAAGTCAATACAATATATAACTTTCTTTAAGCCCAAAAACTCTTAAACTGAATATTTTCACAATTTCACCTTCCATCATGTGGTTTGTTTTGATTCCTCATTTATTCGTTTTTTCATTCCTTTAATGTTGCCATATTTACACCGAATAATGAGGTTATCGTAGTTTACCAAATGGTTCGGAATCTGAAAAAGCTGAAACAAAAACGGCACGAAGCATCTCTGAAATGTCTCCGGCTTATTTTTTCAGTATTGTGCTCATTACTTTGCCCCTTAATCACAGAAACAATCAAAACTGTCGGCATTGTGTAAAAATTAACAAAATCAACACAAAAACTCTCAAACTGAATATTTTCACAATTTCAACTTCTACCATGTGGCTTGTCTTGATTCCTTATTTATTCGTTCTTTCGTTCCTCTCATGTTGCCATATTTACACCGAATAATGAGGTTA